AGCTCAGTGACATGGGCTCATTAAGAGTGTGGAGCATCTGTTCCCCAGAGATGTCAGCAGGGGTCGGGGCTTGGTTCTATGTGCCAGCACAGCTAGAGCTCAGAGTCATGGCACTTTCTCACCTGCTCATAAGGGTCTCCCTGTCACACAGGCAGGTCACTGTACTCAGGAAACCATACTGAGAGTTTGTGACTGCCTTCATCTTCCATCTCCTGAAGGCAAAGTGTAGATTTCTGGTATCACATGAAGACCTGTGAAGTCATTGTGAGAAAGCGTCCTTTTGCTTAAGAAAAATGTATGGATGACCCAGTGCTGGTATAGTCAACCTTTCCGTTTACTGCAAACACTGATTCTATATGTCCATGTTTCTATCACCAGAAGTGTATTTAGGCAGTAACTTGGAAATGAGGCAGGGGAATAGCTTAGATCCAACTGAGTAGGTGAGTAAAGGTGAGTGAAAGGAACTAAGTCTCTGTGTTGCTTTAAGAATTGGGAAGTTAAATTATTTTCCGTTGCAGTTGTTCTCGAAATAAAAAAGTTGTATTGGTTTGCATATGTGGTGAATTGTTTAAAGGAACAGACTATGAAAGTTTACTAAATAGAAGAACTAAACTTAATTTTTATAGATATCAACACGTCGTTCCTAGACTTCCTTCTGTGTAGTGAGTTTATTATACTTCCGTATGCACACGTGGAAAACAATTTAAATAGCATGTTTGGTGATAATAAAATATGCTATCTATGCATATGTGTAAAAGTATTAGATTACATATTTCCATGCTGCACCTTTTGTTCCTTATTGTCTGTGAAATGAGATAATGTTTGTTGTCCTTTTAGAAACTCATCAGTATTTATAGTTTCTAAATGCTCACTTTCTCCATTATTTTAAAATATCTAAAATATGTATGGAGTTTTAAAAATACTATCATGAAAATTACAAGGAAGTTCCATTTGTGAATATAGTGTCAATGCATCTTGTTTCTAACTTTATCATTAACAAGAAGTGATGATCTTGTGACTACAAATACCAACATGAAGAAGACAAACGTAGGAAATCTGAATACTTACTTTTTAAAAATTTACATTTTTAATGTTTACTTATTTTAGAGAGAGAGAGGCAGAGTGTGAGCAGGGGAGGGGCAGAGAGAGAGACACACACAGAATGTGAAGTAGTCACCGGTCTCTGAGCTGTCAGAGAGCCCTGTGCCAGGCTTGAGCTCACAGAACGTGAGATCATGACCTGAGCTGAAGTTGAACGCTTAACTGACTAAGCCACCAGGTACCCCTGAATACTTACTTAATTGGTGGATTAGGCAAATGACTAGTGCGTGTGTGTGTATCTGTGTGTGTGCGTGCGCGCGCTGAGGTGATGTATAAAGTACACTAGGTCCCGTCCTTCCATCCTTGCACACTATCATGAATGGACTCTTGTCTGAACGCTGCTGGTGACCTGCTCAGACGCTCTTTACCTGCTGGTGCTCCAATGCAAACACGATTTGTTACGAGTATGGGCTCTGAGCTTCCCAGCCATTCCCTTCTTGAGAGAATTGCCCTCAGCTGAAAGGAGCCACGTTGTCAGGAAGTCTGCGGATCATGGTGGGGGCAGCTCACAGCCAGTGACAGACTCAGGGGTGTACAAAAGGCTGCCACTGCCAAGGCAGGACAGAATCTGATGCAATTCATGCTCCAGAGCCGGGCTGTCTAGTGCTTTAGTAAGTAGTCACAGGAAGCTATTTAAATTTAAATTCATTAAAATTAAATAAAAGGCAAAATTCAGTTTCTTAGCTAGGACATTTTACTTGCTCAGGGATGACAGGTGGAGAGTGGGTCTAGTATTGGGAGTGACGACACAGTATTTCTATCATCACGGATGGTTCTACTGGAGAATTCTGTCCAGCTTCTCATGGGATCAGGCTCATGCTCTGTTCCACGCGAGACCACATCCTCGCTTAGCGGCATTCTCTGCTCTGTTTTCCTTCCCTCACCCCGTTTATCCTGAGAGCATATCCTGAATAAACAACACGCAGTGGAATTCCTACTTCACCCTCATCGTCCATAGAACCTGCCCTACGGCAGCGTCAGTGTCCATCAGCTCTCATTTCCTGTCTAGTGATGGCTGCAGCCCCTCACTTGCTCGTCCTCCATTGTCACCGGGGGTCTGTTCTCCTATATGTGAGGTCAGCTCAGACCTGTGAGACGGAAGCATCATGAGAGCAGTAGCGGTTCAGTTGTAGCACTGTGGCTGTGGAAATCTTGCCCGCACTTTCTCAGGATTCATTCTGGAACTGGACAGGACAGCGTGTGTGTGTCAGTATATCAGTGAAAGTTGTTTATTTGAAACCTCTTAGATAGAGACATTATCTTGTATTTTATCTTTAGAATGTGTAGTGTTCATACTGAGCGTCTAGATTTTGGAAATATATATTCATCCACTACAATTTTAAGAGTTTTGTGTCAGCTTTGAACACTTATGATAATTGCTCTATCTCCTTATTTGTGTCAGTAGTAAGCATTTAATCTCTTTCATTACATATGCCTATTTCTTAATTTTTATTGTAAAATTGTGTTCTTGCAAGATATCATTTCCCATTATATCCTGTTTTGATGGAAATTATTATATATAAAGGCATTGTTTTTGTTTTGTAAAATCTAGTTATTTTTATTTTATTTTACCTAATACACACACACACACACACACATGCTTTTTTCAAGTATTTATTTTTATGTGAAGTAAAAATTTAGGTATGATTTTTATAAATGGACTTTCTTGTATCATATCATGATAGGTTCATCCACATTCTTTAGTTTTTTAATTAAAAAATTTTTAATGTTTTTTTTTATATTTCTGAGAGAGACAGCATGAGCAGGGAAGTGTCAGAGAGGGAGGGAGATACAGAACCTGAAACAGGTTCCAGGCTCTGAGCTAGCTGTAAGCACAGAGCCGGACCCGGGGCTTGAACCCACGAACCGTAAGATCATGACCTGAGCTGAGTTGGAGGCTTAACCGACTGAGCCACCCAGGTGCCCCTCAACCATTTTTGGTTTTGTTGGTCTCCTGAGCAGGTGTGCGTCAGGTGATTGTCTTGTGTCACACATTTAGGCTGTCACAAACACCTGTGTAATTAATTCTATTAAGACATTTTTTGTGGATAGATTTTCTTTTAATTTTTTAATTTTTTGTTTTTGTTTTTGTTTTTTTTACAAATAGTTTATTGTCACGTTGGTTTCCATAAAACACCCAGTGCTCATCCCCACAAGTGCCCTCATCCATGCCCATCTCTCCCCCCCCACACCCATCAGTCCTCTGTTTGTTCTCAGTATTCAAGAGTCTCTCATGGTTTGCCTCTCTCCCTCTCCCCCACTATTTCCCCCCTTCTTCTCCCCCATGGTCCTCCGTTAAGTTCCTCCTATACGTGCAATCATATGGTATTTGTCTTTCTCTGCCTGACTTATTTCGCTCAGCATAACACCCTCAAGGTCCATGTGGATAGATTTTGTTATCACTGATAAACAAACAACACTGATATCACTGATCACATCCTTATAGGAAAAGGAGGTATAAAAGAGTGTGAAATGCCACATCCTTTTTTCAAAATTTATGGACATTTATTTTATGCCAGTTTTGTACCAATTTCTTTCACCCCTCAGTGGATCTACCCCAAATCACGATTTGGATTTTAAAAGTCTTAGAAGAATACAAAAATGTACTATATGCCCAACAATTTGAATATGATAGAACTGAAATATTCATTTTCCGATGCCTCTTTGGTCAGTGTATAACTGTTCATCTTCTTCAGTAGTAAGCATTGGGTGAAAATGGTCATCACCTAGCCTTATATTTGGCAATGTATTTGGTCCAGTATCACTAACTCTGCAAGGTACTTCCAGAAAGGTGATAATTAACCTAATATGGATGGATGTCTGGGATTTTGTATAATACCAAAATAACATTTTGTTTATGCCTTTCCTTATATACATTAAGTTTTACATTATAGTGCTTGACCTGTCATTGCTTTGAGAATGTTTCTGTCCTTGTATCCACGTATTTATCTATTTACTTACTTAATTATAGGGAGTGATTTAAAGCATTACAGTCTGTACATAATTACATGGTTGGATAACTTTTACATATTTATTCTGATTAGAATGTTGATACTGAATAATCCTACATCTTTGAGGAATTTTACAGAGTCTAATTGGTATAATGTGTGAAACAAATCTGCAGAAGGAAGAGGAAAGTGTTGGGCACTGGATTTTAGAGTTCTGATACCAACAAACTCTCTTCACCAATGAATTTTTGGAGTTTCGTTAAATTGGTATGCTAATTTTAAGTACCATTAGGACAAAAGTTAAGCACTGTAATTGAATGGTGGTATTTTCTGGTCTTCTCTGGTTCTTTAATTGTTTTATTATCATGGGGAAGAAGCCCCCAAATGTGTGTTTATATACAGATCTAGTAGTGATATTTTGAATGTAATTGAATTTTTTTGTGTAAGTATACTTAGGTCATAAATTCCTATATCTGGATGCAGTTTGATGAGATCATGTTGTATTATAAAGTGCTGCCTCTGAGGTGTTTGCAAATCTAGTTGTCTGGAATTATGAGATACATATTTAAAATAATGAATCTCCCTCTGTCTGCATCTCATTCCGATTCTTTCTGATTGTTCTCCCTCTTTGTCATTCATCTCTATTTTCTCTACATTTTCATAGTAGTTTCAGTCCTTTTACCATCAGACTGAAAGAACTTTTGTACCTATGACTCATGCAAATACAAGGTCCATTATTTGCTTTTTCTTATATTAAATATTAATGATTTACTTTTTTGAAAATGTGGAAGTAAATTGGCATAAGCTATGTCAATTTCAACAAGTACACCATTTATCAAATAGTTACTGACAAAATTCCATGGCCATGTCTTTTAACATGATATATCCACCCTGTGCCATTTGTTTCTTTAACATTTCTTTAAAAAATTGCTAAATACTTGGTCTTGACAGGAAACATGTGGTAAGAAAGGATGGAGCAGAAAAATGGAAGTTCCTTCACTGGGTTTATCCTGCTGGGCTTCTCTGACCGGCCTCAACTCGAGCGAGTCCTCTTTGTGGTTCTTCTGATCTTCTATCTGCTCACCCTGCTGGGAAACACGACCATCATTGCACTGTCCCGCCTGGACCCACACCTTCACACTCCCATGTACTTTTTCCTCTCCAACCTAAGCTTTCTGGACCTGTGTTACACGACCAGCACTGTTCCTCAGCTCCTGGTTCATCTCAGGGGAGCAGACAAGTCTATCTCCTATGGCGGCTGTGTAGCTCAGCTGTTCTTCTCTTTAGGGTTGGGATGCACAGAATGCTTCCTTTTAGGGGTGATGGCATTTGACCGCTACGCAGCCGTCTGCAGGCCCCTGCACTACACGGTGATCATGCACCCTCGTCTCTGTGCCCTGATGGCATCTGTGTCATGGTTCACTGGTTTTGCCAACTCCTCAATGGAGACGGTGCTCATTTTCCTTGTACCACTTTGTGGGAGAAATAAAATAGATCACTTCTTTTGTGAGGTTCCCCCACTGCTCAAGCTTGCCTGTGTTGACACCACTGTGATTGAGTCAGAGATCTTATTTTTCAGCATTATCTTTCTTTTCATACCTGTGGCATTGATCACATTCTCGTATGGTCAGATTGTCAGGGCAGTGTTAAGAATAAAGTCAACTGCAGGGCAGAGGAAAGTGTTTGGGACATGTGGGTCCCACTTCACGGTGGTCTCCCTGTTCTATGGCACGGCCATCTGTGCTTACCTCCAACCCAGCAACAACTATTCTCAGGATCAGGGCAAGTTCATTTCTCTCTTCTATACCATTGTCACCCCTATGGCCAACCCCTTCATCTATACCCTGCGGAACAAGGATGTGATGGGCGCAATGAAGAATGTGTTCTGTCGGGGCTATGACTCCAGATGACTAGGGTGTCAGATGACGGAAGACTTTGAATGTGAGAGCCTTTAAGATTTTGTGTCCTGCATGTGTCTTCCAACATTTTCCCTGACGACTCTCAAGGGAATTTCCTTACCTCGTTCATTTTTTTCAAGTAGCATTTTTTTTAAACTTTAAAAAAGTTTATTTATTTATTGAGAGAGAGAGAACAAGAGTGAATAGGGGAGGGACAGAGAGATAGGGAGAGAGAGAAAGAATCATCACAGAGGGAAAGAGACAGAATTCTAAGAAGGCTCTGCACTGTTACCAGGAAACCTGATGCAGGGCTCAATCTCACGAACTGTGAGACCATGATCAGAGCCAAAATCAAGTGTTGGATGCTTAACTGATTTAGCTACCCAGGTGCCCCCATACCTCATTCTTTTATACAATGAGTATTCAAAATCTAAGTTCATGGATTCATTGCAACCTCCAGAGAGGCTGGTTTAGTGTCCTAGTGTATCTGTATCATATCAATATTTTAAAAATCTTCACAGGTTTTTCTTATTTCATCCCCCTTTGGGAATACTGTTCTAATTGCAAAAAGACATTTATGTACATACGAAAAAGGCACAGTCAAAATAAGAATAGGAACCACTAAAACAGTGTAAGAAATGTTTAACATTTTAGTCTTTCTAGTGACTTCTGGAAGCGTATCACTTATTCTTGCATTTTGATCATGGCTGTGTTAGAAGGTCCGTAAGTTGACTGTATCACAGCTTCTTCACAGAATTAGTTGGTAACTGTGGGAAAGACAAAATTTAGCTCAGAGAAAATTCTGGGAAGAACAATCCTGACAAAGGCTTTTAGATGTTAGGCCCCAGGTGACCATCCCAGGGTGACAGTAATTCTATGTAGCCTTCATGTCACAGAGGGAGGTGGCATGATCACTCATCCCAGGAACAGTGGGAGCATCAGGTAGCAGTGAAGCAGCTGATGCTTATATGTATCTTGCACATGTGAGGTGTGACACTCGCTTAAATTTATGAGCCACCCCATTCATTAAAAATGACTTGTGAAATGAATAAACATTTTTAAAAAATGACTTTTGAGTACCTTGAATGACACAAGTCCTATTTTATATTTAACGTGTTTTTTTTTTTTACATACAGTAAGCAGAAAATGTTTCAAGGATAAAATATATTTTGATCCTTTCTTCATACCAATTTATAAATTCTTTGATCCAGGCATGAAGTGATCAAGGCTTTTGTATATTACATCTGCCAAGGAGTCCATACAATTTGAAAGCAGGGATATATTATAAAAATATGAAAAACGACTTCCATTTTCCAGAAAATTCCATGTTCTATAGAGCTCATTTAGGTTCACCAGGAGAAAATTTAAGGAAGAAATAAAACATATATTAATTATTAAAAATCTCAATATGTCTAAGCTTTACATATAGCCATCTCATTATGAAATAACTGTCATAAATTCTGAATTATGAGCTATAAATGTAAACATCCCATAACAAGTGAATGTGACATTGTAGCCCTTAGATCTTAACTCAAGCTCAGTTTGCATATAAATATGTTTGGGGGTATGGATCTGGGTTTTTGTATATATTTATCGTTATGAACAGTACATTTTCTCGTGGAGCTTGATGTTTTGACAATGCCACCATCAAAGAAATGTGTTTTTTTTTTGTTTTTTTTTGGTAGATTTTCCCAACGTGTAGCTCAGGTAAATGTATTTGGTCTTTGACTGGACACATACCCATATTAATCACACTGTTCCCTCTCCTGACAGCTAACGGGCATCCTCCTGGGTCTTGAACCCCCTGAGCTGCCCATGCTTGTGACAAGTGATCTTGGAGCAGAGACGGCATTAGGCAGGCTGGAAATGACAGCTCGGGGAGATTCTCACATAGTCATGGGTCTGTCTTCATCCCTAACAGGGTAAGAGTATCCACACTTGGGTATATTTTGACACCATGGTAATGGTAATCCTGAATGAACACCAGTACAGAAACACTTTTGTCATACTGTTTATTCCTGATGCTGATAAATTTCCCACTCTCCATTATGTTTCAACCACATCTTGACAGTTATACCAAATGGTCACTTCAAAATCCCTCAAATGAACTTTCCATGATGTAAAAACCCTCAAAATCTCTTGAAACCACACAACCTTATGTTCTAGCTAAGCAACTGCTTCTCTGTGATTAAGGACACAGGGAACCCTCTGGAAACAGATTTATTTCCTCTAAGTGAATGTTTGATGGCATTTGTATATTTATGTTACATGCAAATAAATTGCAGATAGTAAAGATCTGTAGGTCCATGCTAAATAAAAAAGAAATCGCTTAAGACCAAACCGTATTGTCCTGTAACATTTTTCTAATATTGGGAACGTGCCTCCCGATGGTCTCTGTCCTTTGTGTATAACAGGCTACTGGGTTGTGTAAATTACCACCAGTATTATTTGAAACGTTTCCTTTGAAGTTTCACCAATAACTCTGGCATGACTAGAGGGACTGTGCCCAAGTCTTGGCTAAATTATTTTATTCCTTCTGTCTCTAGCACTTGGAGTTTCAGATTATCATTTTGCTCTAGAGCAGGTCATGGATTCTTCTAGGTCTTACCTTCTGAGGGGCATGGTATACACCATAGCTCAGGTAATGAAACATTGGAGAGACACGAAGTGTCAGTCCAACTCACATGAAACACAATTCTTTTTTTTTTAAGTTTATGTATTTATTTTTTAGAAAGAGAGACAGAGACAGAGAGACAGAGACAGAGAGACAAAGAAAGAGAAATGCAAGCAGGCTACGTGCTGTCAGCCTAGAGCCCAAATGGGACTCATCTTATGATGTGAGATCATGACCTGAGCTGAAATCGTGATCAGATCAGACACTTAAGGGACTGAGCCACCCAGGTGCCCCTGAAACATAATTCTTCTTTTTTTTTGATGAGCTTAATTAATTTTATTTATTTACTTATCTATTTATTTATCTATTTATTTATTTATTTATTTTTACAAATAGTTTATTGTCAGGTTGGTTTCCATATAACACCCAGTGCTCATCCCCATAAGTGCTGCCCTCCATTCCCATCTCTCTCCTCCCTCCACCCCATCAGTCCTCAGTTTGTTTCTCAGCATTCAAAAGTCTCTCATGGTTTGCATCTCTCCTCTCCCCCACCATTTCCACCCTTCTCCTCCATGGTCCTCCGTTAAGTTCCTCCTAATCCTCCTATACGTGCAAACATATGATATTTGTCCTCTGCCTGACTTACCCTGAAACATAATTCTTAACAAGCAGAAAATTTATTACTAACTAGAAGATTTTTCAAAATACTGAAGGCACATGCTGTATCCTGGAAGCCCTAGACCTGCCAGACAAACTCCGGGGTCCCCCTCACCACAATGGACAGCATTTTGTTTCTCCAATGTGGGGTCTTCTGTGTGGTCCATGTCAGCACAGAGAAGTTATGGGGTTCCTCACTTTATGTGTCTCTACCTTGTTCTGGTCTGAGGGCTGTTGTGTGTTTGCATAACGACAGTGTGTATAGTGTGGGTTACTGCACTGTGAGTAAACCCTATACCTCTTGCTCACTCACTACTGGATCTGTCATCAGAGTGCAGTCACCCCTGTAAGAAACTCCTGTGTCTCCAAGTCTGCACATTTTGCCCCTAATGTTTGCCAGAGTCCTGCTCTGACCAGGCTCACTGAGGAGGCAGGAAGTGGTCACAGTTCCCTGGCAGCCCCAGAGTTGTTCATTTTAGCCAGTCTGACAAGTGTGAGGTGGTATCTCATTGTGGCTTGGATTTGTATTTCCTTGATGTGATGTTGAGCATCTTTTCATGTGTCTCTTACTCATCTGGATGTCTTCTTTGGAAAAATGTCTATTCATGTCTTCTGCCAACTTTTCCCCTGGATTATTTGGGGTTTTTTTGTTTTTGTTTTTGTGTTTTTTTTTTTTTATTATTATTATTTGAGTTTGTTAAGTTCTTGAAAAATTTTGGATACGATTCCTTTGTCTAATATGTCATTTTCAAGTATCTCTTCTGTTTGTCAGAAGCCTTGTAGTTTTCTTGATTATTTCCTTTGCTGTGCAGAAGACTTTTATCTTGGTGAAGCCTGAATAGCTCATTTTTTATTTTTTTAAGTTTACTCATTTATTTTGAGAGAGACAGCCACAGTGTGAGCAGAATAGTGTCAGAGAAAGAGAGAGAGGGAGAGAGAGAATCCCAAGCAGGCCCCATGCTTCCAGAGCAGAGCCTGATGTGGGGCTGGACCTCACAAACCATGAGATCATGACCTGAGCTGAAATCAGGAGTCAGACACTTAACTGACGGAGCCACCCAGGAGCCTCTCATTTTCGCTTTTGTTTCCCCTGACGCCAGAGACGTGTCTAGTAAGAAGTTGCTCCTGCCGGGGTCAAAGAAGTTGTTGTCTGTGTTCTCCTCTAGGATTTTGATGGTTTTCTGCCTTACATTTTGGTGTTTCCTCCATTTCAAATTTATTGTTGTGTCTGGTGTAAGAAAGTGGTCCAGGTTCATTCTTCCGCATATCGCTGTCAGTTTTCCCATCACCATTCGTTGAAGAGAATGTCTTTTCCCATTGGATATTCTTTCCTGCTGTGTCAAAGATTAGTTGGCCATACTCTTGTGGGTCCATTTCTGGGTTTTCTATTCTGTTCCAATGATCTACATGTCTGTTTATTATGGCAGTACCATACTGTCTTGATGACTACAACTTTGTAAAATAGCTTGAGTCCAGAATCATGATACCTCCGGCCTTGCTTTTCTTTCTCAGGGTTGCTTTGGCACTTCTGGGTCTTTATGGTTCCGTAGAAATTTTACGATTGTTTGTTCTAGCTCTGTGAAAAACGTTGGTGCTATTTTGATCAGGCTTGCATTAAATGTGTCAGTTGCTTTTGGTGTTATAGATATTTAACAATATTTGTTCTTCCAATCCATGAGCATGGAACATTGTTCTCTTTCTTTGTGTCCTCTTTAGTTTCCTTCATATGTGTTCTACAGTTTTCAGGGTACAGATCTTTTACCTCTTTAGTTAGTTTTATTCCTAGGTTATCTTATGGTTTTTGGTGCAATTGTAAATGGGATCCATTCCTTGACTTCTTTTTCAGCT